GGAACGGGACACAAGGGCTAGGGTCTGTGTCCCCGGGGGGTGTCTGTGAGGGTGAGGTGGGGCCGTTTGGGGCTGGACACTAGCCGGTGCCCTCCACACCTCAAAGCCGCCCGTGTTGTCCTCCCCACTCTTCCTCTTGGGCGAAAGACCTCGCTGGGCCGTGTCCAAACCCTGTGAGGTTGTTGGCCCTCACTAACCTTCTGGATATGTCGTTGCCCTGTGCTTCTGCGGGCTCAGCCGTGAACACGTCGACTTCTCAGTCCCCTGTCCTCTAAACTGGCTGCTCTGTGTCGTGTTCCCCAATACCAGCAACCCTGAGGACAATTAGAAAGGCTGGATGAGGCTGGGCCTGTAATCCTAACCCTTGGGGGGCTGCAGTGGGAGGATTGCTTGACCTAGGTCCTCATCGCTACAAAAATTAAAAACTTAGCCAGTTGTGGTGGCGCGTGCCTGTAGTTTCATCTGCCTGGGAGGCTGAGGCGAAAGGATCACCTGAGCCCAGGAGTTCGAGGCTGCAGTGAGCCATGATCGTGCCATTACACAGACAACAGAGACCTCGACTCAAAAAAAAAAAAAAAAAAGGGAAAAAAGAAAGAAAGACTGGGCGAGCACCCAGGATGCAGGGCATGTTCACCCAGGGCAGATGAGTTGTCCCTGTCAGAACAGCCTGGGAGAGCAGTAATGCAGGGTCAAGGATAGGCTTCTGGGGCCTCTGGACCCAGAGCCTGGATCATCTTTGCTCAGATCCTGGATCCATGGCTGGAATGTCATCCAGGAATAGGTGGAGAAGTTGGACAGTGAAGCCTGGGAGCCGGGCGGGAGGCACGGAGACTCAACGATGGTCTGTAGCTCCCACCTGCTCTGTGGTTGGGAGGCAGGTAGTTGGTGCAGGAGATAAGTAGAGGAGCCACTGTGGGAATAGGGTGACTGGGGACCATTCTTGAGATGCTCTGTGCATGTAGCTGACAGGCACCTTTGGCCTCCACTTCCCATGAGTTCAGGGTCCCTTGCTGCCAAGTGGGGGCTGCTGCTTCAAGGACACCTGGCTTCCCTCCGACTCTGTTCAGGCACTAATCAGTCATCTAACTCCTCATCATCATGGGTCAGGAGAGCCCCACACAACCTACCTACTGTTTGAGGGTGTTGGACCAATCTCTGTTGGTTTTCTGTGTCTGCTGTAACACACTACTGCAAACTGGGCAGCCTGAGACAACAGAATTTATTCTCACAATTCTGGAGGCCAGAAGTCTGACATCAAAGTGTCAGCAGTGCTGCGCTGTTTGCAGCTCTGGCCAAGGATCTTTCCTTGCTTCTTCCAGGTTCAGGTGATGTTTCTTGGAGTGTGGCTGCCCCACTCTAGTCTCATGTCCATCTTCACATGTCTTCTCCATGTCAAAACTCCCTCTGCCTCCCTTTGTAAGGATACCTGTCATTGGAGTTAGGGCCCACTCAGGTTATTTAGGGTGATCTCATCTCAAGATCCTTAATTACATCTGTAAAGACTTTTTACCAAATAAAGCCACATTCAGAGGTTCTGAGGGTTAGTGGGCATGTATTTTTGGGGAAACCATCATTCAACCCATTGTAACCTCCTTTAGTAGAACCTACCAGTCTTGGGGACCTCATGCCCCCAACCATTCTTGGGCCTGTCTGCTGATTGCACAGTGACCAGCTGTCCTGGTTTAGCTAGGTTGCCCCAGTGTGTTGTCTTTGTCCTCCACCCTGGTGAGTTCTCAGACCCCAAGTGCCTAGAGGTCCAGGAGATCATGCTGAGTGCTGGCTCTGGGCCCTGCTCAGGCTGCCTGCTGTTATTGCAGACCAGGGCCTGAGGCCAGCCACCATGACCCCTCAGGGGAAGCATTCACTGGATGCCTTGGGGCAGTAGCGAGGCAAGTGTCCAAGGTCCCACTGTCCCACACCCTATTACCTGGGGTTATGTCAGATCACTATCCTGGCTGTGGAACTTTTGGAATGGCAGATTCCTCTCCAGGTGTCTGGCTGGAACATGATAGCAATAGCCCAGGAGCCAGGGCACCTGCCCTCCTGCTGCTTGGTACTCATGGTGGCAAGTTCCCTCCAGTCTGTGAGGGGCTGGCATCCCCCCTGGCATTGCAGGGTGCCTGTTAGTGCTCATGGCCAGAAAGTCCCTTCCCCTGTGTGTAAGAACCTTGGATCTTAGCCTGACAGTGACCCTGGAACTGATCTCCTTAGCAGCTGGTCCTGGCAGCTTGCCCAAGAACTCTGCAGTTGACTCCTTGCAGACAGCCTGGTCTCAGAGGCAGACCAAGGAACCCGCCAAAAATTGCAGGGCCCAGAGGGCAGAGCTTGCTGTCGGGGAGTTGGCAGGATGGGCACAGCTCTCTGTGGCTGGTAGACGCCTGCCAGAGGGAGAAGCCCACAATTGTGAGAGCAGAAGCTGAATGAGGTAGATGGTGGTGAGGAGCCAGAGGGCAACAAGGGTGTGGACAGGACTCCATGGTCACACAGACTGGGATGTGTGTCCCCATGTCCTGTGTCCTGCCTGAGTCTCCTTTCTCCCCGGTCACAGCTTCCCATGTGGCAGCAGCAGTGCCTGTGGGCTTGTGCCGCCATAAGGAATTGCCCTGAACATGTTGCCCGTCATTCCCAGTGGTCATGCTCATCTTCCCATGAAGAGTGTTTTTCTTTTTTTATATGTGGATTAAGAGACACCTGGTTGAGGGAAATGTTGCCACCCCAGAGCTTAAGCCTCTGATGTGGAAACAATTGCTTGATGCTTTAGTATGCAGTTGGCTTGGCCATGTATGAAAAGTTCATGCTTAATATTTACCTAGCAGTTTTGGTGACTTTTCTTTTTTGTTTAAAAAACACACATCTTTATCCTGTGTACTGGTGTCCTTGTGGTCAGAGCTCAAATGATGTCCTGAATGTTGCAGGTAGGCAGAAACCTGGCATGCTGCAGGCAGGAGCACTTTGTGCCATGCGTGTTCTGCTTTTATTTTATTTTTTAAGATCTGTACTTCATGTAACATAATTAAACAGTTTAAAGCTACATTTTACAGGCATGGGCTTACAGCTGTAATCCTGGCACTTTGGGAAGCTGAGGTGGGAGGATTGCTTTAGACCAGGAGTTCAAGACCAGGAGTTCAAGACCAGCTATCTTTAAAAAGGAATAATAAAAAAGAATGAAGTGTACAATTCAAGTTGGGTTTTGGTTTTTGGTTTTTTTTTTTAGTTTCTAACATATTCACTATGTTGTGTAACCATCATCCCTGCAATTCCAATATTTTTGTGATCCCAAAATGAAACCCTGTGCTCAAGAGTTACTTCCTATTCTTTCTCCTCCCCAGCCTCTGGCAACCACTAAATTACTTTCTTTCTTTATAGATTTGCCTAGTGGATATATCATATAAATAGAATGATACAATATGTGGTCTTTTGTGACTGACTTCCTTCATTTAACATGTTTTCTGAGGTCCATCCGTGTTGCAGGACATGTCAGTACTTCGTTTCTTTTTTTGTTTGTTTGTTTGTTTTTGAGTTGGAGTCTCACTCTGTCGCCCAGACTGGAGTGCAGCGGCCGCTCCCGGCCACCGCAGCCTCGACCTGCTGGGCTCCGGCGATCCTTCCGCCTCAGCCTTCCAAGTAGTTGGAACTGCAGGCGCGCGCTGCCACACCCGGCTGATTTTTTGATTTATTGTAGAGATGAGGTCTCGCCTGCCAGGCGGGTCTCGAACCCGCGGGCTCAGGCAATCCACTCACCTCAGCCTCCCAAAGGCGCGGGATTACAGGCTGAGCCACCAAGCCCGGCTAGTACTTCATTTCTTGTTATGGCTGCATAATCTTACATTCTGTGGCTAGACCACATTTTGTTTATCCATTCATCATTTAGTGGACTTTTGACTGGTTCCCCCTTTGTGCTATTGTGAGCAATGCTGCGGTGAACATCCGTGTACCAGTTTTTTGTTTTTTGTTTTTTTTTTGAGTTGTAGTCTCACTCTGTTGCCCAGCTGCAGTGCAGTGGCATGCTCACAGCCACCACAGCCTCAACCTGCTGGACTCAGGCAATCCTTCCATCTTGACCTTCTAAGTAGCTGGAACCACAGGCACATGCCACCATGCCCAGCTAATTTTTTTGATTTATTGTAGAGACGAGGTCTTACTAAGTTACCCAGGCTGTTCTTGAACCCATGGGCTCAGGCAATCCTCTTGCCTCGTCCTCCCAAAGTGCTGGGAATACAGGCATGAGCCACCATGCCTGGCAACTAGTTTTTGTTTGAACGTCTGTTTTCATTTCCCTCGGGTAGACACCTAGGCGTGGGATTGCTGGGAGTGTGGTGACACCACGTTTAGTCTTTGGAGGAGCTGTCAGATAGACCTCCACAGCAGCAGCATCATTTTATGTTCCTACCAGTCATGTAGGAGCATGTTCTGGACTTGCCTCTTTTCTGCCAGCCTTCTTGCCCATCTGTCCTCAGGGCAAGTGCTGAGAGTGGAGGGTGCCAGAGGAGGCTCATTGGCTCACCGCACCGAGGGAGCCTCACGACGGGGCTTACTGCCAGCAGCTTTGCCAGTCCTGGGTGTACAAGCGGAGCTTTTGAAACCAGGACACCCCAGTTCATGTGTTGTGTTCACACAACGAGGCCACACCCCACATTCTGGAGAAGGAGCCTCCCTTGTCCTCCCCTGGGAGAGTTCCCTCAGGAGTCCAGGAGCCTGGCTCCTTCTAGCTCTGGGCTGGCATCTGTTACGGGATCAGTTTACATCCATCTGCTGTTGGGACAGTCAACATAGGTGGGCAAGTGGGCAGGTGGAGCCCATGTTGTTCCCAGTCCTGTTCTTGGGAAACCACAGGGTCAGTACCTCAGGGCAAGATGGTCGGGAAGAGTAACCAAACTCCACTGTCAGGCAGCCAACCCCATGCATGAAACGAATATCCACAGACTCAGATGCATGAGTGTTCAGGAAAGACATGCATCCAACAGAGTGCCCGTTCCCTTTCACACTCTTCTGCTGACTGAATGGTGAAAGATCACTCTAAGGGCCATGTGGACAGTCCAGTGCTGGGGCAGAACATGCAGGTATCCAGCATCACCCAGATGTCCTCATGCTCAGAGAAGTTCCTTACTTCCAAGCTTGCCTCCTTGAGTCTCAAGCTCCAGCCCGCTAATTTGTTAGGTGGAGAAACCAAGACACAAAGTGGCAGACTCCACAGTGGGTGAAGAGTGATGGGTTTTCTCAAAATTAGCCCTGATGAATGCCACCTTCGGGTAGAGAGAGCCAGGAAGGACTGGTGCCCTTGTGGATCTGGATGCAACTTCATGAAGGCTTAGTAAACCCTGGCTTGGAGGCACAGGCGGAGTGGTGGCCTCACCTGCCCAGGACTGAAGGTCAGTCTCACACAGGGCTGGAGGGAACAGGAGGGTTGTACAGTGATCATATGAGTGAGTGAAGCCGAGAAACCTCAGGTCACAGCAGAGTCCCAGTCTGCTGCCAGGTGAGTCTGACACCTTACACCTCCTGGGACAGCTGGATTATGGCAGGTGAATGGGCCTGGCCAAAGCAGGGAGCCAGGAAGATCCAGGGCACTGGGCTTGCCACCGGGAAGTGGGGTGGGGAGTGGAGGCGGGATTCTGGGGAGCTGGCTGTAGAGCAACTGGGGAGTCTCTGTTGATTGTGGGAGGGGACCGCTGAGGTCCTGAGCCAGGGGCCGCTGTTTTAGAAGCTGGTGTGGAGATAGGTGATGTGAGGGATCCAGGGAGAGCCAGGGAAGCTGTTCCCTGGGGTTGGGTGGAGGCCTGGGGCATGGCAGACACCTCAAGCAGGGACAGGCCGCACTGGCTCTGGGGCGCTCATGGTCGCATCATTCTGTTCCCCTCCATGTACGAGAGCTGGGGATGGCCCAGCAGGAGCTCTTCGGCCCATCTCCCCTCATCCCTTCCTGGGAACCACCAACCTCCACTTCTCCTCTGCTCTTCCAGATCCTACAACTAGGACTCCGCGTTGGGACCCAGCCCAGGATGGCGGCTCTGGCCCAGAACACTGGGCAGAGCGGAGTCCCCAGTGGCCAGGGAGCCCCCAGGGGCCAGGAGCCCCCAGGGCCAGGAGGAGAATCCCGAGGAGTCGAGGCCCCTCGAAGAAGACCGAGCTGGGAGATGCCCCCCTGAGGAGGGGGACCTCTGTGAAGGGGCGGCGGGCGGCAGGATGACTTTACCAGGTGAAGGATCCCAGGGCTGTGGCCTTGGTGTGAGCCCTCGCCTTGGGGCCCATCACGGCACGGGAGCCGGATTCCTTGTTCAGGAGCCGGGCGGCCCCGCCTCCTCTCATGACCCTGACCTGGTCACCCACGAGAGGCTGCACGCTAGAGAAGTCCCCTTTCGGAGCGCCGCGGGTGCCAGGGACTCCAGCCAGACCCCCTGCCTGGCATGGCACCACAGAGTGGCCCCCGGAGAGGGCAAGCCCCCTGCGTGTGACTGCTGTGGCCGCCAGGGGCTGCCCCAGAGCCAGCCTCGGACCCAGCTGTGTGGAGTCCACATGGACTGTGGGCCGTGTGGACTGGGGACGGGCGCCCAGACCTGCCCGAGCACCCCGCATCCGACCTCCCTCCCGCAGGAGCGGCTCCAGGCGTGCGTGTGCGGCGAGGCCTTTGCCGGGAGGACCCTGTGGAGCCCGCAGGAGCGCGCACAGGAGGCCGAGAAGGCCCGCGCGCCTACCGGGTGCGAGAGACACTTTGGCCCCCACAAGCCGCGGCCGATGGCTGAGGGTCCTTCAGTGTGTCCCGAGTGCGACTGGGCCTCGGGCCCTCGCCCCGGCGTCCCAGCCGCCACGGCCCAGCGGCTGTACGTGTGCGACGAGTGCGGCAAGGCCTTTGCACGAACCTCCAGCCTGCTGCAGCACGAGCGCATCCACACCGGCGAGCGTCCCTATGAGTGCACCGAGTGCGGCAAGGCCTTCGTGCGCTGCTCCGGCCTCTACCGCCACCAGAAGACGCACTCGGCTGAGCGCCACTGCAGCGTCACGGCCCCGGCCCGGCGCTCCTTCCTGCTGGAGCACACGCCCCGCGACAAATCGTTCACGTGCGCCGAGTGCGTCAAGGCCTTCGGCCTGTTCTCACATCTCGTGGAGCATCGGCGCGTGCACACGGGCGAGAAGCCCTACGCGTGCCCCGAGTGCGGCAAGGCCTTCAACCAGCCCTCCAACCTCAGCCGCCACCAGCGCACGCACAGCAGCGCCAGGCCCTACACGTGCCCGCTGTGTGAGAATGCTTTCAAGGGTCGCTCGGGCCTGGTGCAGCACCAGCGCGTGCACACGGGCGAGCGGCCCTACAGCTGCCCCGAATGCGACAAGACCTTCCGCGGCTGCTCCGAGCTGCGCCAGCACGAGCGCCTGCACTCGGGCGAGAAACCCTACATCTGCTGCGCCTGCGGGAAGGCCTTCGTGCGCAACTGCAGCCTCATGCGCCACTAGCGCGTGCACACTGGCGAGCGGCCCTATGCGTGCGACGAGTGCGACCGCGCCTTCAGCCAGCGTTCCAACCTCCACGAGCACGAGAAGCGACACGCGGGCGCGCGGCACCCTGACCGCGGAAGGGGCGGTGCACGCGGTGCAGGGGCACCCCAGGTGGGGAAGGCTGTGGTCCTGGACGTGCACACACGTGTGTAGCCTTTATTAAAGCTCACTTTGTACACGTGGCGTCCCCAGTTCCCCCTACCCTGGGGTTTTATTTTATTTTATTTTATTTTTTTGAGTGGGTGTCTCACTCTGTCACCCAGGCTGGAGTGCAGTGGCATACTCACGGCCACGGCAGCCTCGACCAGCTGGGCTCAGGTGATCCTTCTGCCTCAGCCTTCCAAGTAACTGGAACTGCAAGCGTGCACCACCATGCCTGGCTGATTTTTTAAATTTATTGTAGAGGCGAGGTCTTACCAAGTTGCCCAGGATGTTCTCAAACCCCTGGGCTCAGGCAGTCCTCTTACCTCCACGTCCCAAAGTGTTGGGACTACAGGTGTGAGCCATTGCACCCAGCTTACTCTGGGGTTTTATTTGACCTCTTCTAACTGGGCACACAGCCTCTGGTGCGGCTAGGGAGTAACAATCTGCAGTAGGCACTAATGTCCAGGGCACTGATGTGTCCACTATCTCTGGGATCTTCCTCCGCTGGTCTGAGACTGTCACCAGCCTCTAGTCTTCCCCCTTCGGGACTGCGGCTAGACCGCATCTCCTGGAAGCCTCCGCAGTGCCAGAAGAAGAAAGGAGGTGAACCCAGAGATGTCCACAACTCACTCCAGGTGGAATCATCCCCCTAGAGTGGGATGCTTCTTTCCCATATGAATGCATATCTCTGTGTATGATTCCAGTTTCTCCCTGAAATTCACCCTCCACGCTCATTCCAGAGACACGCCCTCAGCCCCCACTCCAGAAGCAGGCTCACTAGGGCTGGGTGTTGCCGGGGCATTCTGCCTTCCATTCTGCCCATTTGACCCCACACTTACTGGGAGGGCAGAGAGAATGCTTGCCTGCATCACATGGCTCAGTTTGGGGTCTGGGTCTTGTCTCCAGCTGGGCTTCCCACGTGTGACCTTGGACTCCAAAGCAAAGCCCTGGAGAAGCCCTGAGGAAGGGAAGAGGTACAGGCCTCTGAGGGTACCTGGGTGCCTGGCTCTCTGTTTCTTTCCATGTCTTGTGCAAGGCCATGGAAGCCCTTTACTGTGTACCTGGCCCAGTGGTCACTTTACATCTTCCATGCTCTATGATACTCACAGCAGGTGTACATGGACACCATCCACATCCCAGTTATTGGAGACTTTCCATGGCATGAGTACTGTATCTCCTTCACCTGCCTTTGCCAAGGCTGTGCCAAGGCAAGCCCCTCTGGCGGGGGGTGGTCAGAGCTCCCCAGCCTGGGCAGCCAAAGGGAAGGGACTGAAGTCAGCCTCAGAGGGCTCCCAGGAATTCACCCTGGGAGAGACTCAACTTAGTGTCTCCACCCTCCACAGCCCCCCAAAGACCCCTAATCCAGGAATCACCCACCAAGGGCTTAAAGCCCTCTGCTCTGGGGAAAGCTGTGTAATGCAGGCCCAGTCCACTGTGTCCTCCAGACAGTGGTCTCTTGGAAGCCCTCCTCAATCATGAGGAGAGGCAGAACGGGCCCTGCCCTGCCTCTAGGGGTAGAATCCAGTCTCCTGGGACTCTTTCTGTAGGAATCACCTGAGTTGCAGCTCTGGTGTTCTTTTATGGTCAGTCAGTGATGGTCAGTCAGGTGTGGTCAGGAGACACAGGAGAGGCTCAGGAAAACATTTATTATGCTCACAGATCTAGAACTGGGGCACAGCACAGGATGAAGGGCCACACAAGAAAGCTCCAGCATCTGTCAGGAGGCAGAAGGGGTAGGAGCAAGGCGACAGTTGAAGCCAGAGCTTTTGTTGGGGTTTTCAAGGGAAAGGCAAGGCAGGCGGAGCTAACAGCTTAAATTGGCCTCAACCTGCTGGGCTCAGGTGATCCTTCCACCTCAGCCTTCCAAGTAGCTGGAACCACAGGCTCACGCCACCATGTCTGGCTAATATTTTGATTTATTGTAGAGACAAGGTCTTGTCATGTTGCTCTGGTCTCGAACAGTTGAGCTCAGGCAATCCTCTTGCCTCTGCCTCCCAAAGTGCTGGGATTACAGGTGAGAGCCACTGTGCTCAGACTTCATTCCTTTTTATGGCTGAATAATGTTCCATTACTTGGATATGCAGACCCGCATTTTATTTATCCCTTTATCAGTTGATGGGCATTTTGGCTTGTTTCCACTTTTTCACTTTTTTTTTTTTAATCGCAGTCTCACTCTGTCACCCAGGTTGGAGTGCAGTGGCATGTGTTCATGGCCACGGCAGCCTCAACTTGTTGGGCTCAGGCAAAACTAAAAAAGAAAGAAAGAAAAGAACAATAGGGGGTGCTCATAGGCAAATGGGGACAGTTTTGCTTGCTGTAGAGATGTTGCCGGGGGAAAGAGCTGCTGGAGAGGCAGATGTGGCCTTAGCACCATGGAAGCCTTCCCACCTTCATCTTCTCTCCCTGAGGGGTCTGGCCTACATGGCCACCCATGTCCTGGACCGTTCTGGTGGGACCTGGACGGAGGCCTGGTGTGGACACTACCTGATTAACAGTCCTGCCGGATTGCCCCTGTTGTGTGAGAGGGGAGGGGGCAGGGGGAGTGGGTAAGCCAAGTGGGCCAGGGTTCAGGTCCAGGTGATCGCTTCCAGGCTCCTGGAATGGGGGTAGGTCCATTCTCTTCCTCACAAACAGAGTCCCCATCTCCCTGGTAATCAGGTTGGGCAAGGCCAGGCAAAGAGACTCAAGGGAGGCCCTGAGGGTGGCTAGTGCTGGTGAAGTGGGTGGCTTTTAGCCTTTCCACATCCTGGCATACAGCCCCACTTGGCACCTTCCTGTGGGGCCAAGTGTGGGGATGGGTGTGCGACACATTTGGGACAGGCCCAGAGTGCTCTCTGGGTGAGGCAGTGTTCCTGAGTCACAAGTTAGAACCTGGCAAAGTGAGCCAAGGTCTGGCTGGGCATGGTTTCCTGTGCCACACTGAGGCTGACCTTGGTTTTCTGCTCCAGGTTGAAGAAGGCATAGGGCAACCAAGGCCACCAACAACATGGTGGGGGTAATGGCTGCCCACCCACTGGTGTTAACACCCTGAGACTCGCCTGTTTGGGGTTCTCTGTGTTCTCCAAGGCTTTCGCCCTCTTTCCCATTTCAGGCCACAGAGGTGAGAAGGAACCCCCAGGACATGGACCTTGCATTGGCTGCAGAGGAAGGCCAAGGACCCTGGACTGTGCTGAACCCACGCGAGGGGCCTCTCTGACAGGGCTGTGTCTGTAGGCGGGGCATGGGAAGAGCCATAGAGGCCCCGAGGTTGGGTGCCAGGGGTTCAGCAGCAGCATGCCACAGTGGGGGTCACAGCAGGCCAGGGGGGGCCGGGTGGGGAGCTGGAACCTGCCAGAGTGACCCTGTAGACCCTCCCTGGGGCTGCTGGCACTGGCAGTGCTGCAGGCCCTCAGCCAGAGCTCCCACCTGACAAGCCCCAGGCATCTACACGAGTTGCGCCACGCCCTGACCCAAGCTGCCCTGAGCAGGAGGTCGTGGAGCTCCTGGCCATACACCGGCACCACGGCGTCTGGTGTAAAGGTGTTGGCGCTGACCCTCTCTCTGTGGGATGTGCAGGACTGCGATGGGCGCAGAACGCCCAGACTGGAAAGACAGTGCCTGTGATGGGCCCTGTTGGCAACCCGGGCTGACTGGGGACACAGGTGGTGGCCCGTGGTCGAGGAGGGGGTTCACAGGGTAGAGGTGGCACTTTGTGCTCCAGTGAGGGGTGCATCGGCACTGAGGGGCAAGAATCGGGGGTGCCAGCCCGTCTCCTTTGGGAGCCACTTCAACCAGAGATCTGGGCTTGGGCGGCTCCCAAAAGCTTCCTCCCCTGTCTTCCCTGACCCAGCTAGAAGCCAGGTTGCACAAGGATTCTCTGTCCCAGGCCTTGCTCTGGGGCCCCGAGGGTGGCAGGAGGCCTGGGGCAGAGGTTGGGGCAGACCCGCATCCTGGCTCAGCTGCTCCCTCTCACGCCACCCCTCTCTCCTGCTATAGCTTTCTCCTGCACCACTGTGGCTGGGATCTTTTTTATTTATTTTTATTATTATTATTTTTTGAGTTGAAGCATCACTCTATTGCCCAGGCTGGAGTGCAGTGGCACGCCCACAGCCACTGCAGCCTTGACCTGCTGGGCTCACGCGATCCTTCCACCTCAGCTTTCCATGTATCTGGAACTATAGGTGTGTGCCACCATGACTGGCTAATTTTTTGATTTATTGTAGAGACAAGGTCTCATCATTTTGCCCAGGCTGGTGTTGAACCCATGGGTTCAGGCAATCTTGTTGCCTCCGCTTCCCAAAGTGCTGGGATTACAGGCATGAGCCTGCGCGCCCGGTGTGGGATTCTTTTTAAGGATGAACCTTCCCAGCTTGAAACACCTCTGGCTCCTTGTGGACCCATCATCGTGTCCATGGCCTTTGTTGGCGTAGTCTCTGTGTCCTGCTCTCTCAATGAAGGGATCTCAGATCCGAATCCTGGACCACTTGGCTCCTGTCGCTGGGTGCTGAGAGAGATGGCCCACACGATGATATGAATGGTGAGGGGCAGATCAGTAGCCTGAGGAGGTGGGGTGAGGCTGGTAGAGTGGGGTACACCAACCCCCTGAGGGCATTGTGGTGCCAACTATGTCCCCCCCGTGCCCATGTCCAGCTTTCACCCTGGCCGCAGGTTGAGGCTGGCTGATCACCTGTGCAGCCAGCCTCTTCCCATCCTGAGCATGTTTCTCTGAGCCTCTCTCTGACCCTTCCCTAGCCTGTGGCCACAGCACTATCCTCTCGGAGGGGGTGGGCACCTGCCCTTTCTAGCACTAGACAGACCCTCTCTGGAAGGCGGTGGGTTTATGTCTCGTGGGGAACTTCTCTGACATGTGTGCGGGGCAAGTCCCCCCCCCACCAGGAGGGGCTCTTGGAGGGGGGCTGCCCTAACAAGCTCTGGATCCCTAGGCTCTTCTCCAAGGTGGATCCCTAGCATGCAGGCCAGAATGGTCAGGTCACCCTGCCAGGGGCTCTGATCTCCTCCCAAGGCCATGAGTTTCTCAGTCTCCCCCTCCTACCAGATGCCAGGGCGTCTTCCCCACTCGCCCCTTCACGTGTACTGACTGGCTGTGCTTTTCCCTTCAGCTCCTGAGCCTCTTGACGGTAAGCGGCAGCCTCAGGCTTGCATCTGTGAGGGGTGAAGGAGGGGCGTGGGGGGCTATAATCCTGCCTCTGAGGACCTTCCTACCAGGAAGGCCTCTTTTCATCCTTGTGCCCCGAGGGGATCCTCAGGGACAGCCAGAAGTAGCCCGAGGACTCTGCAGTTGGGATCCCAGCCCAGCAGTTGACTGCCTGCCTGGGTCTACCACAAGGGTTACTGAGCATTGCTTTGCATATTTTTGAATGGGGTGCTTTGCACAGACTCCTTCACCCTCATCCTGACTGCTGAGGTGGGAGGCCCTGAGCCGGCCCCAGGAAAGAGGGGAGGAGGCTGGCACAGAAAGCACAGGAACCTCATTGGGATGGGGTAGGATGGTGCCAGTCTGATGGGAGGGGTGACCTGTGGGGCAGAGGGAGCTGTTTTGGCTGGAGTCAGGCAGCAAGTGACCCCAACTAGGTATTTTGAGAGAATTGGTTGCTTAGCTTTGAAAGACTGGAAGAACACGGGGAATATTTAGATAGATCAGAGATTCCTAACTGAACCTCTAGAACTGGGGGTGCAAAAAAGAAGTGGCCTTACCAGAACCTAGGAGCTGGACAGAGGGGCTTGGACATCTGAGAAAGTTGAACCATGGCTGACTGAGGGGGCACAGGAGAGAGAAAGCTCTGCTCAGAAATCAAGAGCTCAGCATTCTTTTTTTTTTTCTGAGTTGGATTCTCACTCTGTTGCCCAGGCTGGAGTGCAGTGGTATGCATGCTCACAGCCACCACAACCTCTACCTTCTGGGCTCAGGTGATCCTTCTGCCTTAGCCTTCCAAGTAGGTGGAACTACAGGCATGCACCACCATGCCTGGCTAATTTTTGTTTGTTTGTTTGTTTTGGGGGTTTTTTTGAGTTGGAGTCACACTCTGTCACCCAGACCGGAGTGCAGTGGCCGCTCAACCTGCTGGGTTTCAGCAATCCTTCCGCCTCAACCTTCCAAGTAGCTGGAACTACAGGTGTGTGCTACCACGCCTGGTTAATTTTTTTGATTTATTGTAGAGATGAGGTCTCACCAAGTTGCCCAGGTGGGTCTTGAATTCGTGGGCTCAGGCAATTCACTCACCTCAGCCTCCCAAAGTGCTGGGATTACAGGCTGAGCCACCAAGCCTGGCTGCTAATTGCCCATGGGCTCAGGCTATTCTCCCACCTCAGCCTCCCAAAGTGCTGGGATTATAAGCAGGAGCCACTGGACCTGGCCGAGCTCAGCATTCTTATTTGCCCCAGATAAATTGGAGTTGTACAAGATCCAGTGGCCTGGTTGGATCTTCTGGGTCGTAGGGCCCAAGTGATCGTTTGCTTTGTATACAGGACCAGCTATGTGGACTTCTCTTGTTCTGAGTCCCACACAAAACACATAGAATTGAAGACGGTAAATAGATTGGAGAAGCACACTTGAGTATATATGTTGTGTCCAAAACCCAGGGACTCACCTAGCACTGATTCTTCTTTCTTAGTGGTAGTGCATATCACAACAATTGGTCTTGTTTTTATTCTTAATTTTTATTTTGTAGAGACAGGGTCTCAGTATGTTATCCAGGCTGGTTTCAAACTCCTGGCCTCAAGCAATTCTCCTGCCTTGGCCTCCCAAAGTGCTGGGATTAACAGGCATGAGCCACCCCATCTAGCCCTTGTCTTTTTTCTTAGGAGGGGCTATCCCAGCAAGCTCCAAACTGAGAGACTCTTCACTGAGGAGGTGGGTCTGACATGCATCTAACTTACTTAGTCACTTAACATACCTGCTGCTTTGTGTTCATGACATTCTATGAGCTCATCATCCATGTAGTGGATGGGCATGATATTCTGTGGAAAGTCAGGATGATCAACGTCTCTGCAGATTATGACAGAATCATGAAATTACAGACTTAGCCCAGAGGCTAGCTGTGAAGGTATACTGTTGTCCTTGTCAGGAAAAAAGAAGACAATTCTGGTGGTCCTTGCATATCGGTAGAGAAAAAACATTCACCAGGTCAATAGCTGTGAAAGAGCAAATCTTCAGTCTCTCAAGTTTTCCCCAGCCTCTCTCCCCAGCAGAAGCTGCCCTTCCTTCCCTGAGGTTAAAGCATTCTGACTACTCCCCACTATTGTTACTGCTGCCAATGGTGGTAAATGCACATCTCATCTCTGGCAGTTAGGCCCTGTCATTTGAGCTCTGTCACGCCCAAAGAGTGGCCATTTCAATGGTAGCATCTCCTAGGGCCATACTGGCCTATGAAGGACAGCCACTACAGCAACTTTCTGGGGTGCAGGTACCCCTCTGACTAATATATTTCCTGAATTTTTTATACCAAGAATATCCTGTGTGTGTGCATGTGTGATATTGCTCATGATAAACCCACTTCAACACTTCCTGTATTCTTTTTTTTTTGTTTTTTTGTCTTTTTTAATCGAAAGTCCCTTACTGGTCCTGCTTACATGAATGGCCATGACCAAGGGAAAAGGGAGAGGAACCAGCCGGCATGGGGAGGGGTCATCTCCACAACATTCCATTTGTACACAGAACTAAACAGACAAGCACAGAGTCACTATGCAGTTAGAAGTTGGCAGCACGGAAAGGGAGAGGAACAGGTGGGGAGTGAGGGTTTTGTTAAAAAAAATACAGCGCCCCCCCCAAACTGGGGTGCCCATGGGGAACTTGGTCTACTTCAACCCAAGAGGAATCAAGATCAAAGGCAGTTAGGGAAGGCCAGAACCGTCAGGGATGGAGGGAGGGAAATCCAGGGGGTGCGGGGAATGTTTGGCAACTGGGGCGAAGGGATTGCCCTCCCCCTGCTGGGATCCCCCCATCCCCTCCGGTCTGGCAGGGAGGGGGCAGCCTGCAACCCCCGAGAGCAGGTCTGGGGCTGCCAGATGCTCTAGGCAGGGCACCAGAAGGGGCTCACAAAGGCTTGCCCTCCAGGGAGATGACGGCACTGCCCCCCAGTTTCTCTGCCAGGGTGCAGCGATCCTTGACCTCCTCATAGTAGTTTGCTTGTAATTCATGCTTGATTCCTGTCAGCTTCTTCTTGATGGCGTCCTTGGAGCTGGCATAAATCATTTTACTCTTAAGGGGTGCACACTCAGGAGCCCAGAAGATAAACACCAGGTCCTCCTTCTTGCTCTCCTTGGTCTCATAAGTTGTGTCATAGAGGGCATGGCGGCAGTCCTTGTCTGGCAGCATCTTGACAAAGGTGGCGTAGGGGTCATCGACAGTCTGGCCTATGTCACCTACCAGGATCTCCTTGCCCTCCTCCAGGATGATGTTCTTCTTGTCCTCACTCAAGCAGAAGAGCACCGCCTTCTCGCGCTTCTTCACCTCCTCTGGTGTGGAAGACTTGCGCACCTTCATGTCATTGAACAACTTGATGATGCCATCAGAGAGAGCCACACCAGAGGCCATGTTTCCGGAAGCAAGGAGGAGAGGTGGCGAGGAGAGCCAGAGAATAGGACGGCACTGCCACTGCTGCCGGCACCCGACTGAACGCGGCCTCTCCTGGCCCCTTCCCACTTCCTGTATTCTTAAGCCTTTGGGTTCCTTGCTCCAAATTACACTGGGGGAATTCTGGCAATTCAACTCTATTGAATTTGGGCTACCACTGAGTCCAGGTCTTAGTCAAACAAACTCAACATCCTTCAAGCCACACAAGCTAACACTCTAAATCCAATCTTTGTAAGTTGTACATATAGTTAAATTTGATCTAGTCCACTGTTGGTCACATCCTTCTTGATCAAATACTTTTATATGCCATCCCTCATATTTGTTCTCCACGTTTATGCCAATTACATGAATAAAACCTTGCAATTATTTTGGAATATAATAGTACCCTTCCGGGTCAGATTTTACACTTGTCCATTTAAAGCATGCCTGACTCACTTGAGGTCTGGGGCAGAAAGGTTGTTGGAGGAAACGGAGGCCCCTTACAAAGCAGCTGCATGGTTTACAGCCATCACCCAGCTTTCAGACCTAGGTCTGTTCCCAGACACAGTGCCCCTCAATTGAAGGGTGGGCCAATCCCTTTAAAGAGAAGACCAGGCCAGCCACAAGCATGGACTGTAGACCTCCCTCAAAGGGTCTGATGCCATTTCCCCAAGGTGAAGGTGGGGGCAGGAAATACCAGATCTTTCCCAGATTGAGAGAGACTGGCTCTGAGTTGAGGCTAGTCTCCAAACACTCTGTGGTCCACTAGACAAAGCAGGATTTTATGGCCCACGTTTGTTTCCTGCTGGGTTCATTGTGTGTGTATACCACTTTGGTTATTTCCATGTGGAAAGGATGGATGATTGGAAGAGACGGACTCAGCAAGTGGTGGTATCACTGTTGTGCCAGATCCCCAAAGACCCTCAAAGGGAAGGCACTGTGAGGCCAGAGAGATGACTTGGAGACACAGATGAGACACAGGCTTTATTTAGAAACTTAGTACGGAGAAGGTGGTCCAGGGGTGACTGGCTGGACAGAAAAAAACCGCTCCCAATTCTAAAAGACACAGGAGTCATACAACATTTTACATAGAGCAGAGTGCAGGATTAAGCATATAAAGAGTGGAGTTTCCAGTGTGCAAGTGCAGTGTAAGAATATGCTTATACATAGGTCGCATATATACAAATGGCTGCAATTTCTTTGTAGGGGTAGGGTTATTATTTTTTTTTTCATTATCATAAACTAAAGGTGAACTGAAGGTAATAAAAGGTTATGGGCAATGATCCAGATGTGCCCGATCTTGTCTGAACCAACCCAGGGGCCGACTGCCTCAAGGAAGGGGGCATGAGAAAATTTACTCCGCAGAGGACCAGGATGTGGTCAGCAGGCAGAAGGACACCTTACCCACAGCCTCAGCAGGACCTGCGTGCCCAGGTATGGAGCCTGAGGGGAAGGAGACATCCCATGTTGGCCACCCCAGGACCCCTCCCCAGGCTCCAGCCCTCTGTTTGGGGCCATAGCCAGGGTGTGCTCATGTTGTCATTGCATGTATGTTGCCCTCCATCACCACATTGGCTCTTTGCCCCATAGAATTTGCCCCATAGGTGTCATTAAAGTAGAAGAGCCCAAGCAAAAACCCCTAGAACATCCCCACTCTGCTAGGATGCCAAGCCAGAAGCAAGACAACATCCCTGGGGAAGTTGCAAAGATAAGTGCCACTATCAAGGACCTTACAGCTGCAGGCTGGCAATTCTCACCACATACCTTTCTACTCAACTGGCCTGTGCAGAAGACGGATCGATCCTGGAGTAACAATGGATTCCTGAGCCATGACTCCAATTGCAGCTGCTGATCCAAATGTGTTACCTTGACTAGGGCAGGCTAGCACAACTCCTGGTGCAAGTGTGACAAGATTCTGATCTGCCTCTGAATTCACACAACCCCTTTCCAAGCCTCAGTGCCGCTCCTTGCCCTAACTCTCACAGGTGTCACTTCGTGGATCTAAGAATTCATTGTAGGTTGTAATTCTGTAATCCATGCAATTAAGGTCTGTTTCAGTTTCTGCTATATTGGCTCTTTGCAAGAAGTCAGAAATTCCTTTGGGGCTGGCCCAGAAGCTCCCTGGTTCTCTGTGTCTTGAGCTAAGTATTTAAATTCCTGAGCTTGTCATTTCATTTCATTTCTTTTTTTGAGTTGGAGTCTCACCCTGTCATCTAGGCTGGAGTGCAGTGGCATGCTCACAGCCACCCCAGTGTCAACCTGCTGGGCTCCGGCGATCCATCGGCTTCAGCCTTCCAAGTAGCTGGATCTACAGGCATGTGCTACCATGCCTGACTAATTTTTTAATTTTATTTTAGTGTAGAGATGAGGTCTCGCCAAGTTGCCTGGGCTGTTCTTGAACCCATGGACTTAGGCAATTTCCTCACCTTGGCCTCCCAAAGTGCTGGAATTACAGGCTTGAGCCATCATGCCTGGCCTAGCTTGTCATTTCTTTCAGCAAGTTCCAGCACAGTCACAGGCAGCCAACCCACCCCACAGTCCATGTGGTCCCCACTGCTGTCATCAGCTGCTCAGGGCAGTGGCCACATGGTCTCCCAAGGTGCTGGCTTCAGCCGACACTTCACCTAAAGTAACCACAGGTGATGGTTTAGACATGATGCCAAGACACACCATGGACTTCTAGTGCTCTACTCTATTGACAAAAAGCTCAGCACTGTTCCAGACTGAGATCGGGACCAAATCAATCCCAGAGTCCCGTTTTTATGGATCTGTCTCTTGGGACCCTTCTTGATGCCAAGTACCATATCATATTGGGGTCAAGTCAGGAAATAGAAACCATACTAGATATCTCAAGCAGAGAGGATGTAAGTTAGGGACCTGGTTATGAAGACTTTGCAAGGTTCAGAGAGCAAAAGTGGGACGTTGCAGAAACTCAGAGGTTAATATTTGCAGGAAACAGCTGCCACCCAGAGGGCTGGGGGAACCTGAGGGCTGGGGCTGGAAGTGCCAAGAGAAACTCGAAGGCCCCCACCCCTGGACTTTCAGCCCCCTCTCTGCAAACCTGTGACTAAACCATGCCCCTGGCTGCCTGGGAAGCCCCACCACCAATGAGCTGAGAGGTTCTGCCACAATTAGGTGGTCTGACCTTAAGTTCTGTGCACACCCTGAGGTCTTCTCTGGCTTGGCCACCCATCCTTGTCTGGGTGCTCCAGGCCTGGTGATGCCCACAGGCCTCAGCACTTGGTTGTCTCTTCTGCAAAGGATGCATCCTCCCCCCACCCACCTGGACACACAGCCTCCTTCCAGGTGCTGACTCTGAGCAGGATGCAGGGCACACAGATGGCGCTCAGCATAGTGGAAAGGAAGCCACACACGGGAGTCTCCCCAGCGCCCCATTCCCACTCAGCAGAAGCCAAAACCCTGCAGTGCCCACCAGGCCCAGCATCACTGATCTCTTGACCACTCCCTGCCCCTCGCCACCTGTGTTCCTTCCTTTCTAGTTTTGTTGTTCAGTCTCACCCTCAGCCTTGGCTCTGTCTGTTCTCTCTACTCAGGACCAGTTATCTGCAGGGCTCAACCTCATGACTGCATTCAAAATCTCTGCTGCCCAAGAAACCTTCCCTGACCCTCAGGTGCCATGCGGCTCCTCTGGCCCCAGGCCCCATCACGTTGTCAAGTTCATGTTTTTCCTTGCACCTGCCCTCTGCTTTCTCTGTCTCCCTGGAAACCAGGATCCATTCAAGCAGGGCCTGAATGTATGTTTTCCCACTGTCTTCGTTGTGTGGGCTCATGGTAGATGCTCGATAAAAGCTTATGGAATGGATGGGTGAGGAGGAATACGGTGGGAGGTGAGGGTGGGAATTTTCCCTCACAACAGGAGGCCACAGGGAGGAAGAAGGCCACAAGGGTGGGTTATGGCGTGAGGGGAAGCAGTGGGAAGGTGGAGTTATGGCCTGGCACAGGCCACAACCCCATGAGGGGCAACAAGGAATTCAGGGAACCGCACACAACCCTAGCACATGTCATGTCAAGGGTCAAGTGGGAAGCGCAATCTGAGTTGAATGACCTAGTGCAAATCTGACTCCAGATCCATGGTGGGCGGGTCTCACAGAATCCACCAGTGATACTGAAGGAACCTCAGCTCCCAGGAAGAGCAAGGATGCACCTCCAGACAGTCAACATCACAACAACTACAGGAAATCCGAACACAGGCAACCCCACCTTTGTGTCCCACATGGGGTGCTGTCTGGTGGGAGGGGCCATGTAAGCTTCTGTGTTGGCCCTGACACTGCGCCCTTGACCTTAGTAGCTCTAGGGGTGGGCAAGGGAGGACTCAGTGTCCCTCCTGGAAAAGAATCCCAGCCCTGACCCAAGGATAGGCCAATTTTATGATTTCTTTATCATTCATTACTGATTTTTTTTTCCAGTTGGAGTCACTCTGTTGCCCAGGCTTGAGTGCAGTGGCACGTTCACAGCCACCACAGCCTCAATCTGCTGGACTCAGGCGATCCTTCCACCTCAGTCTTCCAAGTAGCTGGAAGCACAGGCATGCACCACCACACCTGGCTAATAGTTTTTATTTATTGTAGTGACGAGGCTCACCATGTCGCCTGGCCTGGTCTCGAAACCACAGGCTCAGGAAATCCTCTCGCCTCCACCTCCCAAAGTCCTGGGATGACAGGCATGAGCCGCCATGTCCGGACTCATTACTAATTTTGTTTACTAATTACCCATGATTATTGATGATCATTGTTCCTGGGAATCCCAGGGCTCTCTTCAGGCTCAGAGTTTCGCCCTTTGTCCCCACCCCTCGCAAGTCCTGCCCCTGATGTTTGGGAAAGACAAATAAGGGAAAAGGTCAATGCCTGCCATGCTTCACCCCCTGCACTCAGGTCTTATAATCCAGACACCCACCCCAACACTCACTGGCAGCCAAAGTGAGCCACCATCATGTCCACATTCACGGCCTGCCTGATGCTCTGGGGTGAGGTATCTGGGACCTGGGTCCCCTAGGGTTCCAGGGGTGGAATGGGGGCCTCACAGGTGCTGTCTCTGCAGGTCTCATCTTGGGCCCAGTGTCAGATGCAGCCACATGTAAGTACAGAACTGGGGTCTGGGGGTGGAGGCCCAGGTGGTGGGTAAGCCCCTAGCATGGCACCAAACTAAACTGGCCACCCCTCACAGATTTCGATACCCGGCCTAGCCTGTGGACTGAACCCAAATCGTGGCAAGATCCCAAGACATACATGTTGCTGACATGCCAGGCCCGCCTGGCAACCCCTGACTTTCAGCTGTTCAAGAACGGGGTATCCCTGGATGTCGTGCACCTCAACTCATCTGCCAATAAGCACCAGTTCCTACTGGCAGGTGACACCCAGGGACGCTACCGCTGCCGCTCAGGCATGTCTGGAGGATGGACTGGGTTGAGCAACCTCCTGGAGTTGACGTGGACAAGTGAGCAGAGTGGGGAGGAGGTGGTGGAGAGGGGCTCATGGGGGTGTCCATTCCTATGATGATAGCTCTAAGCCTCTGTTTCCTCATCTGTCAAATGGGGATGACATTTGTCCTGACCCCAGAGGACAGTGAGGAATAAGTGATTAAGAGTCCATCAGGCCAGCATGCCCTACCACCCCTAACCACTTCTTCCTCTTGCTGTACACCCAGTTCCCACCAGTCCCCGCCCCTTTCCCCCACGGATGCCCTCCATCCCTGTCTCCCTCACATTTTCATGAGTGTGGGGCCCAGGTTCTGGGAAGCCATTAGGTCTCCTGATTCACGCAGAACACTCAACACTCTTGCCTCCCCCACAGTGTCCTTTCCCCCACCCTGGCTCTCAGCGGAGCCAGTGTCCTGGATCACACCCGGCCTGAACACCAAACTGGTGTGCCACGGGGGACTGCGGGGTGTGACCTTTACTCTGAGGCGGGAAGGCGACAACAAGTTTCTGGAGGCGGCTGAGGCCAGAGAGGACGTGAAGGCTACCTTCCCTGTCCACCAGGGTGGCAACTATAGCTGCAGCTACCAGACCCAGGTAGCAGGCATTCCTGCAGTGTCCAGCGCCACCGTGACCATCAAGGAGCTGGGTGACTATTGTACCCTCTCATTGGGCTTCTGGGGGAGAAGGATCCTGGAGGGCAGAGCCAGGCTGACCTTGTCCTCCACCCTGAGTTCCCATGCCCAGGACCAGGCCCCAGAACTGCCCACAGTTGCCAGGGCCTGATGGTTGCCCAAAGAGAGAAGGGGGCTTCCAGGCTGCCACCCAGAGGGCAGAGATCTGAGAAAGGGCAGAGGGTGGCTCTGGCAGGATAAGAGGCCTGGGTGTGGCAGCCCTGACCCTTATCTTGCAGCTATGCCACCCCCGCCCCAGCTGAGAACAAAGAGGGAGTCTTCAGGCATCCTGAGCCCCGGCCAGCACACCACCCTCGTCTGCGTGGCACCCCGGAGCGGCGTGCTCTTCCAGCTGCGGCGGGCGGACAGGGAGTTGCAGGTGCCCATGAGCAGCACCACCCCGGGCCGCGTCTTCTTCCACCTGGACGCGCTGGCCTCGGGGGACAATGATAAATACACCTGCCGCTACCGACCGGTTGGCGAGCCTGATGCCTGGTCCGAGGACAGTGCTCCGGTGGAGCTGACTGTCAGCGACGGTGAGGGCGCTGGGCAGGTACGGGAGTGGGGCGAGGGTCGGTCCTAACTCACCCGCCCGGCCTGTTTCCTCAGTCACAAATGGCGCAGTGGCTTGGCAACCTCGAGACCCCATGCCATCAGTGGGGCAACAGGCAGGTCTGGCCTGGACCACATGGAGCCGCCTGCCAAAAGCCCCCAGGCTGTGGCTGCTCCTCCATCTGTGCGCCTAGAACTCGGTGATACTTGGTCAACTCAGCACCGGATTGTGAGCCCCACGTCCAGCGAGTTCACAGGCCTCCGGTGCAGGGCGCGCGTTGGGGTGTTGCCCGGCAGATGCTTGTGGGTGAATCCACGGCTGAGCGTCCATCGAGCATGAGGCATCAGGCCACAGACAAAACGTGTTCCCCTTCGCAGAGGTTTCTTTTTTTTTTTTTTTTTTTTGAGTTGGAGTCTCACTCTGTCGCTCAGACGAGTGCAGTGGCCGCTCCCAGTCACCGCAGCCTCGCCTGCTGGGTTCCAGAATCCTTCCGCCTCAGCCTTCCGAGTAGCCGAAATTACAGGCATGCGCTACCACGCCCGGCTAATTTTTTGATTTATTGTAGAGATGAGGTCTCGCCAGATTGCCCAGGCGGGTCTCGAACCCGCTGGCTCAGGCAATCCACTCACCTCAACCTCCCAAAGGCGCGGGATTACTGGCTGAGCCACCGAGCCCGGCTCGCAGAGGTTTCTGTACACAAGCAAAATAAGAAACAGTGAAGGGGTGTGCGTGAGACGTGCAGTAAGCAGCCGGCGGGTGGTCCGGGTGTGAGTAGCGCGGTCCTAGAGGGTCTGCTGAGTGGGGAAACCGACCAATCCTTTCGGGTAGAAGGCTCGACCACGGCCAAGGCCGCAAGGCTGGGCCAGCGTGGGGTCCGAGCCGCCCAGGTCCCGGTCAGCCCGCGTCCTCCCCCTGCAGAGACGCTGCCGGCGCCCATACTCTCGGCGAAGCCCGCCAGTCGCAGCCCCGAGCCCGGCACGCGCGTGCAGCTGCGGTGCCTGGCGCCCCGTGACAGGGTGCGCTTCGCCCTGGTGCGCGAGGACGCGGGCGGGCGCCGGGTGCACCGTCTGCAGAGCCCCGCGGGGACCGAGGCCGACTTCGAGCTGCGCGACGTCTCGGTGGCCGACTCGGCCAACTACAGCTGCGTCTACGTGGACCTGCTGCCGCCGTTCGCGGGGTCGGCGCCCAGCGCGCCCTGGGAGCTGCTCGTGGACGGTGAGCGGGCGCGGTCGCTTTCCTCGGGGCCTAAGGCAGAGCCCAGGCCTTGGTTCTGCCCCATGGCCTCCTGCGGGTGTGGGGGTTCGGCGACCAGGGGTCCTAGACACGCCTCGAATTTATCTTATCTCCCACGGGATGAGCTTGTTGACCTCATTAGCGTCGTGGTCCAGAGCTTGGAGACTGGACCCAGTTTCCTGATTCAATCCCCCCTGACTTTGCATCTGTGCTTCAGTTTCTCTGTGCTACATGCATGTCAGTTGTTGCCCCATTGGATTTTGACCCCCACTTCCTGCCAGGCCCGGTCCTCCACAGGTTAATGTGTGGCTCTCCCCAGCCCCCGCCGCCCTGGGGTCTGTTTGTCCCTCCTGTTTCCTCACCAAGGTCCCCGGGTGCAGAGGCCACACAGGGCAGTGGGCACGTCCCGCCTCCAGACCTCTGGCCACGCCCTCCGCGGTAACGCTGTTTCCCATGGCCAGTCCTTCCCTTCGAGTCCTGAGGGCCTGACGCTGGGACCCCAGGGCGACTCAGAGCACACTGTAGTCGGGGGACTCCGAGGTCCTGGGCGAAGGGTGCGGCGAACTGGGCACTGGGGAACAGGAGATGCCGGTGGGGATGGCCGGGTTTGGGGGGCGGGCGGCCATCGTGGGACCAGACACGGAGGAGCGGGGCTGGGCTTCACCTCAAGGTGCCCGCTCCGCCAGGACCCCCTCCCAGGCCGCAGCTCCAGCCCCTGTGGAGCGGGGCGGTGACCCCGGGCAGAGACGCTGTTCTGCGCTGCGAGGGCCCCATCGCCGACGTCACCTTCGAGCTGCTTCGGGCGGGGGACACGGAGCCCTCGGCCATGCTCATACCCGGCGGGTCCTCGGCGGACCTGGTGCTGGTCTATGTGGGGCCCCAGCACGCCGGCAACTACAGCTGCCGATACCGCTCCTCGTGGCCCATCCCCTTCGAGTCGGAGCTCAGCGCCCCCGTGGAGCTACGAGTGGCAGGTGATGCTTCCCTGCTCGGCCTCCTGGCCTCCTCAGGGCTGTGCCCTCCGCCAGGTGCTCCCTCGCCTGCTCTCCACCCGGGCGGTGTTGGTGGCCTGGGGAGGGCAGCTGGGGAATCAGGCCCAAAGACCCGGGGCAGCAGTTGCACGGGTGGGGTGGGGGCCCTGCAGGCTGCGAAGACAAAGCTTGGCTGGCAGCCCCCAAGCCGCTTCCCTCCTCCGCTGCAGGGCAGAGGCACGGGACTCCTCTCCTCCCATTTCCTTTCTTTTCACCCTCCTCTAGAAAGCTGATCCAGCTGTGGAGCAGATGCTGATGGCATCCTCGGGAAGACCTGGGACTCTGGACGGGCCCCCTCCCCTCCTGTGCAGCTGGATGCTTCCTTCCTGGGCTGGAGGGCTCTCCCCCTTTTTTCCTGGAATTAATAAATGGAATCAATAGAGATTTGTTTAAAATGTGTTTGACCAGTGTATCCGGAGCACCCCTGGACTCCCAGGGCTGAGTGGGCTGGGATCCTGGGTCCTGACAGCCATGGGCTCTGGGTGGATGCTGAGGGTGGAGGACTGGCTCTGAAGCCCTTGTTCTCCAAGACCTCTTTTCTCTGCTCCCTTCCACCACACTGTCTCCTACTCCCCACGCACCCCTGCCTGTTCCCAGCAGGTTTGGACAGGTAAATAAAGGCTCGGGACCTATCCAGCTCTTCTTTGACCCTGTCAGCCCCTACACACGGGAAGATCAGTGAGACTGCATTTCATGGCATCCTCCCAGTCTCCAGGAGGCAGGGCTGGGTTGTTCCAGGCCTCCCACATCAGAACTTGAAGCTGTGGCAGTGTCTGGGTTCCTCTCTATGCTTTCCCGTTGTCTCCCTGCTCTGAGCCCCTTTGTCCCACCTGACACCCTCCCGGACCATTTCCTAGTCCCTGCCTCAAGTCCTGGCACACAGTAGGTGTGTATTAGTATTTTCAACCAACACTTGATCAGTTGTGACGTGTGTGTGTGTGTGTGTGTGTGTGTGTGTGTGTGTGTGTGTGTGAGAGTTGGAGCCTCTAGTGCAGTAGCATGCTCAAAGCCACCCCAGCGTAAACTTGCTGGTCTCTGGCGATCCTTCTGCCTCAGCCTTCCAAGTAGCCAGAACTAAAGGTGTGTGCTACCATGCCTGGCTAATTTTTAAAATTTTATTGTAGAGATGAAGTCTCGCCAAGTTGCCCAGCCTGTTCTCAAACCCACAGACTCAGGCAATCCACTTGCCTCGGCCTCCCAAAGTGCTGGAATTACAGGCTGAGCCACCAAGCCTGTCCAATCAATTATGATTTTCAAGGAATTTGCCCAGTGGTCTGATTTACTGCCATAGAGATATCTAATTTAGCCAGGTGTGGTGGTGCATGCCTGTAGTTCCAGCTACTTGGGAAGCTGAGGTGGAAGGATTGCCTGAGTACAGCAGGTCGAAGCTGTGGTGGCTGAAAGCATGCCACTGCACTCCAGCCTGGGTGACAGATTAAGACTCTTACTCCAAAAAATAAATAAAATTTCAAATTATTCTAAGAAGTAATTAAGTTTGGTCTTGTTCAGTTTTTCCTGTGCCTGGGTTTCATTTGCTAATATTTTGCAGAGGATTTTATATGTATGCTCATGAAAGAAGACCTCCCTTAAATACCAAAATCCACAGAAGTTCAACTCCCTGACACTAAATGACTTAGTATTTGTATGTAACCTAGGTACATCAGCCATTATACTCTAAATTACCTGTATATTATTGTAATATCTGCTACAATGTAAATGCTATGTAAATAGTTGTTATACTGTATTGTTTAGAGAATTATCACAAGAAAAATGTCTGGGCATGTTCAGTACAAACACAATTTTTTTTGAGTATTTTTGAACTGCAGTTGGTTGAAATCATGGATGTGGAACCTGTGAATATGGAGGACCAAGTGCATGCTGTCTGTCATTTTCTCTGTAGTTTTCTTTTCTTTTACTGCCTTTGTCTGGTCCTTGTAGCAGGGTAATTTTCGCCATACAAAATGGGTTAGGAAGTATTCGTTCCTCTCCTATTTTCTTGACGAGATTGTAGAATTGGTAATGTTTTCTTTTTCAAATGCTTAGTAGGACTCACCAACTAAACAAACTGGGCCTCGCATTTTATTTTTCAGAATGTTTTAAGTCAAAATTCAATTTCTTTAACAGATGTAAAACTATTCAGGCTATCTATTTCTTCTTTGTTTAATTTTGTTCCACTGAAGTATATTCAAAGTATTCCTTTATTATCATTTTTTTGTTTTTGAAATGAGGTCTTGCTATATTGCCCAGGCTATTCTTGAACTCTTGGGCTCAAGCAATCCTCCTTCCTCAGGCATCTTTAGTGTTGGGATTAAAGTTTGAGCCACCACCATAAATGGCCTATTATTTTTATTTTGACTATGGTATATTTTTAAAAATTAAATGTTATAGTCCATTGGAGTGTGGGGTGCTGAATTAAACTTTTCCAGGAAAATATTAGGATCTTATAATAATTTTTCTTATAGGTCTAAACTCCTTTCTAGTTCTCATATATTCAGTTTTTTTTCAAGGTGCCTACATGGCAGTGGGTGCTTGGTACATTTAGTTTTTTTTTAATTATAAAGATTTGGGGTACAAGTTAAGGTAAACTACATGAGTCGGCTGCATGCAGGCTTCTAACCAGTGCTCATTTACCATTATGAATGAAAATATGTGATATTTGGTTCTTTGTTTCTGTGATAGTTCACTTAGTATTATGATCTCTAATTCCTTTCCATTTGCTGTGAAGTCCATGATTTTATTCTTCTTTATGGCTGTGTAATACTCCATTGTATTTTGATGGGTAGTAGATTTGGCTCCATGTTTTTGCTATTGTGAATAGAGTGGCAGTAAACATGCATGTGCAGGTGTCTTTTTCCTGTAGAATAATTTACATTCAGCCAGGTGCGGTGGCTCACGCCTATAATCCCAGCACTTTGGGAGACTGAAGTGAGAGGAATGCCTGAGCCCATGGGTTCGAGACCAACCTGGGCAACTTGGCGAGACTTCATCTCTACAATAAATTAAAAAATTAGCCGGGCATGATGGCACGTGCCTGTGGTTCCAGCTCCTTGGTAGGCTGAGGCAGAAGGATCACCTGAGCCCAGCAAGTCAAGGCTGTGGTGACTGTGAGCACGCCACTGCCCTTAAGCCTGGGCAACAGAGTGAGACTCTGACTCAAAAAAAAAAAAAAAGAATAATTTATGTTCCCCTGGATATATTCCCAGGAGACAGATTGCTGGATCACGTGGAAGGTCAATTTTTAGTTCTTTCAGGAATCACCACATTACTTTCCATAGAGGTTAAACTGCTTTCACTCTCACCAACAGTATAAAAGTGTTCCCTTTTCTTTGCACCCATGCCAGCATCTTCTGTTTTTCAACTTATTAATGATAGCCATCCTTACCAGAGTTAGGTGGTATCTCATTGAAGTTTCGAATCGCATTTCTCTGATGATTAGTGAGGTTGAGCAGTTTTTCATGTGTCTGTTGGCTGCTTGTATGTCTTCTTTTGAGAAATGTCTGTTCTTGTCCTTCTCCAACTTTTTAATGGGGTTGTTTGGGTTTTTTCTTTTCCTTTCACTTCATTTGAGTTCCTTAAAGATCCTGAATGGTGAATATTAGGACTTTGTCAGATGTATAATTTGCAATTTTTTCCCCCATTCCATGAGGCTTTTTACTCTTTTGATGGTTTCTTTCGCTGTGAAAAGCTTTTCAGTTTGATGAGGCCCCACTTGTCTATCTTAGCTTTTATGGTATTTGCTTTTGGGAACTTGGTCAAGAATTTGTTGCCTATTCTGATGCACATAAGGGTGTTGCCTGCATTTTCTTTTAGAATGCTTATAGTTTGAAGTTTTACATTTAGGTCTTTGATCCATTTTGAGTCGATTTTTGTACATGGTGATAGATAGGCATCGAGTTTCATTCTTCTGCATGTGGCCAGCCAGTTTTCCCAGCACCATTTGCTAAATATGATCTCCTTTCCCCAGTGCTTTCCCCAGTGACTTTGTCAAAGATGAGTTGGTTGACAGTCTGTGTTTTTGTTTCCAGAATCTGTCCTGTTTCATTGGTCTATGTGCCTATTCCTATGCAAATACTGGGCTGTTTTGGTAGCCTTGGAATAAAGTTTAAAGTCTGAAAGTGTGATGCTTTGTTCCTTTTGCTGAGGGTTGTTTTGGCTACTCATGCTCTTTTTTGTTTCCATATGAATTTCTGTCTTGTCATTTCCAGGTCTGAGAAAAATGATGTTGGTAATTTGTTGGTTATTGCACTGAATCTGTAGATTGCCTTTGGTAAGATGGGTATCTTGACAATATTGATTCTTCTAATCCATGAGCATGGAAAGTTTTTCCATTTATTTGTGTCAGCCTTGATTTTTTGAGCAGCATTATGTAGTTATTGTAAAAGTCTTTCACTTCTCTGGTTAGGTGGATGCCAAGGTATTTCATTTTTTTGGTGGCTATTATGAATAGGATTGTGCTTTTTATCTGGTTCTCCCCCTGCTTAGTGCTGGTGTGAATAAATGCAACTGTGTTTTGCATGTTAATTTTGTGGCCTGAGACTTTACCAAAGGTGTTTATCAGCGTGAGGAGGCTTTTGACAGATTCCCTAGGATTTTCAAAGTATAGAATCATATCATCTGCAAAGAGGGAAAGCTTAGCCGGGCTCAGTGGCTCAGCCTGTAATCCCGCACCTTGGGAGGCTGAGGTGAGTGGATTGCCTGAGCCCACGGGTTCAAGACCCGCCTAGGCAACTTGGCGAGACCTCATCTCTACAATAAGTCAAAAAATTTAGCCAGGCGTGGTAGCATGCGCCTGTAATTCTGGCTACTTGGAAGGCTAAGGCGGAAGGATAGCCGGAGCCCAGCAGGTCGCGGCTGCGGTGCCTGGGAGCGGCCACTGCACTCCAGTCTGGGCAACAGAGTGAAACTCCAACTCAAAAAAAAAAAAAAAGAGGGATAGCTTAACTTCTCTTTCCCTATTTGGATACCTCTGATTTTTTCTTGCCTGATTGCTCTGGTTAGGACTTACAGCACTATTTTGAACAGGAGGATTGAGAGTGGGCATCCTCGTCTTGTTCCCATTCTTAGGGGCAATGCTTCCAGCTTCTGCCCATTGAGCAAAATATTGACTATGGGTTTATCATAGATGACTTGATTGCCTTGAATACTTTCAATAAGATTGGTATCAGCTCCTCCTTGTTTGTCTCACAGAATTTAATCAGGAAGCCATCTGGTCCGGGGCTTTTTTTGATGAGGT